GAGCCGCGCGGGGGCGCTGAGACGGCGCGGGGGAGGGGGCGGAGCGGGGAGGCGGGGTGCGGTGCCGAAATAAAGTGGTCGTGGCGGAGGGGGCACTGGGCGGGCGCTGGAGCCGCGCGGGGGCGCTGAGACGGCGCGGGGGAGGGGGCGGAGCGGGGAGGGGGGGTGCGGTGCCGAAATAATGTGGTCGGGGCGGAGGAGGCACTGGGCGGGCGCTGGACAAGCCGAGGGTGAGCGCTGAGGGAGGAGCGGGGGAGGGGGCGGAGGGGGGGTGTGTGCGGTGGCGAAATAAGTGGTCGGGGGGAGGGTGGACTGGGCGGGGCTGGAGCGCGGGTTAAGAGGCGTGAGACTGAGGGGGCGCATGCTGATGATGATGTGGATGATGATGATGGATGATGGTGATTATGATGGTGATGATGGTGAGGATGATGGTGATGATGATGATGATGATGATGATGATGATGATGATGATGATGATGATGATGATGATGATGATGAAGGGGGGGGTGCGGTGCCGAAATGAAGTGGTCGGAGCTCTAGACACCCTGCGCAAGAGAATAATATCGGTGATGTTGAAGACGAGGAAATAACAGCGGCACAAGGTCGGAAAGCTTCCCCATGACCGATCCTGATGTTGGTATGTTTGCCCATACCTGATGGTCAGCGAGCTGGTGCCCAGAATCTTCCATACTCGAGACAATAGCTGCGGTAACACTTCCGGCTTCGGTAGCTTTGCCAATGTCTCGGGGGCCTGCTTCGCAGGACCCGTATCGGCAGGAAAGCGGAGAGACGGCATCGGGAGATACGTTGTCCTCATCCGTCGCGTCGTCAACATCGAGGGTACCAGCAAAAGCCTGCCATGAAGAGAAGGTCGCAGCTATATCATTCCAGAAGTAATGATCGGCTTTGGCGCTGCTGCGAGTAAGCACCTACCAGGCTTCCTATTCTGCGACGCCTCTGGATGCGCCCTTGGCACCGCCTTTCATCCCCTTGCTGGCACGCAGCACTAGACCATCACAGGCATCCGGCAACTTCTTGAACTCTGGATGGTCGCGCATTTCTGTCCATGAACCCCAGTCTTTGCCCCACTCCTCTGTGATAGTGTTCCCGTCGACGGTCACTGTCAGAGCCTGCTCTCTGCCCGCCTCAACACTGTAGGGGCTCTCGTCCGTAGCTTCTGCTTCCGTAGGCTTCGCGCTCCAAATTCGCCGGCCCAACGGGCCAGGGCGTGCTAAGATCTCCGGTACCTGGTTAACAGTATTTCTAGTTCGCGCGCGCGGGGCGGCCCCTGGGGGTCCCCGGGCGAAAAGTACCCCGGCAAGGTCCCGGCAAGTCCCCGGCAAGTCCCCGGCAAGGTCGGGTCAGAGATGCCGGAGTTCTGTTTCGGAGTCCAAGAGGGCTCCAGATCGGTCCAAGAGGGCCCCGAGAAGCTTTCTAGACGGTCCAAGAGAGGCCCGAGACGGCCAAAGATCGCCCGAAGACGCCCCAGATGGCCCCAAGACAGCCCAAGAGGCCTCCAAGACGCTCCAAGGGCCTTCCAAGAGGCCTCCGAAGAGGGCCCCAAGTTGCCAAAATCGTTGATTTTCATTTGTTTGTTCGATGTTTTTTTGCGTTCTGGCCTTTTCGCTTCCGGACGCTCCAAGAGGGCCCAAGAGGCCTTCAAGACTGCTCCAAGACGGCCCACGAGGCTCCCAAGACGGCCCCGGAGCGGCCCAAGAGCGCCCCCCAGACGGCCCAAGTGCTGCCCAAGGCGGACCAAGAGGCCCCAAGACGGGCCCAAGAGGGGCTCAAGAAGGGAACCGAGAACTGAAAAATCGAGCCCTCCGCCCCAGAAGGCGCCCAGGACCCCGAAAGAGGCCCCAAGAGACTCTCCAAGACACCCCCAAGACGCCCCAATAAGCTCCCGTGAGGCCCCAAGAGGACCAACAACGTCAGGCCCCAGGCCCCAAGAGGACCAACAAATACCGCCAAGAGCCCGCCGAAAGCCCCCCAAGAGACCGTCACGAGAGCTCAGGAGGCCCCCTGGAGGCCTCCCGAGTTCTCCAAGAGGCCTAAAAAGAGGCGCCAAGAGGCCCCAAACGGCCCCACCGAGGCTCCAAGAGGCCACGAACGCGCAAGCAAACGCCTGCGATGGCACAATACGGGCCGGCGGAATGAGCGAAGCGATTAATAAGGAAAGCAGGAGCTTCCAAAGTCTTCGCGCTCCTGCTTCCATAGCCATCCACGTCCAAATGAAGGTAAAAGATCGCCATCACCGTCCCCGCTCCTACGTAGCTTCTGATCCTGCTTGGCGTTCCCACCCACTCACGTCCAAATAATTTAAGAATTATTTATAAACATAAAAAGACGCCTAAACCCTTCCCGCTCCTCGTGCCCTCCTCCTCCTCCTCATCCTCCTTACCTCCTCCTCTCATCAAGAATCAATCATCATCCCATCATAACTCATCTCATCACTAGTACAAGCAGCAGCCGCCAGCATCATCCATCATCATCAATCATTCATCATCATCCAGCATATCATCATCATCATCATCACCACCACCACCACACCATCATCATACTCATACTCATCAGCAGCATCAGCATCAGCATCATCATCATCTATCATCAGCGCAGCAGCAGCAACCAGCAATCAGCATCAGCATCAGCATCAGCATCATCATCATCATCCTCATCATCACCACACCACCCACCACCACCACCATCATCATCATCATCATCATCATCATCAGCAGCAGCAGCAGCATCATATCATCCTCATCATCAGCATCATCATCATCATCCTCACCACCACACCACACATCATCATCACATCATCATCAGCAGCAGCAGCAGCATCATCCATCACATCATCTCAGCATCATCATCATCACACTCATCATCACTCACCACCACCAACAACCACCACATCAATCATCATCATCATCATCCATCATCAGCATCAGGGCATCCTCATCTCATCATCATCAGCAGCAGCAGCAGCATCAGCATCAGCATCAGCATCATCATCATCATCATCATCATCACCACCACCACCACCACCACCACCACCACCACCACCATCATCATCATCATCATCATCATCATCATCATCATCATCATCATCATCATCATCATCATCCGTGTGTCCCGGGGCCCCCGGGATCCGAGGAAGGCCCCCGAGGCGAGTGGACCTCGTGCAGCCGAGCGCGGCCCCCGCGCGCCCCGCGCCGCTCAGCCTCTCTGCTTCCCTCCGCCTCCGCCATTCCTCCTCGCCCTCTGCCTCCTCATTCTCCTCCTTCTCCTCCTCCTCCTCCTCCTCCTCCACCTCCATCAATCTCCTACTTACCTCCTCCTCACCATCAATTTTTTTTTTTTCTCCTCACTCCCCTCCTCCTACCGTCCTCCTCCCTCCTCTCCTCCATCTCCTCCTCCTCCCTCCTTCCTCCTCCTCCTAACCTCCTCCTCCTCCTCCTCTCCTCCATCATCATCATCATCATCATCATCATCATTCATCAGCACCACATCATCATCCATTTTATCATCTATTCATCATTCATCATCATATCAGCATCATCACATCATCATCAATAATCATCATCATCATACCATCATCATCGGCATCATCATCATCAACATCATCATCATATCATCCATCATCATCTCATCACGTCATCACCACGGAGCATCATCGACATCATCAGCAATCATCATCACATCATCATCAGCAGCAGCATCATCCTATCACCCTCAGCCATCCTCCTCCTCTTCTCCTCCTCCTTTTCATTATCCTTCCTTTCTTTCTTATTCCTAATCCCCTCATCCTCAACCGTTCCTCCTCCTCATCCCCCTCCTCAGTCTTATCGGCTGATCTCCTCCTGCTCTCCTCCTCGTCCTCTTCCTCCTCCTCCTCTTCCTCTTCCTCCTCCTTCTCCTCCTCCTACTGCTTATTATTACTACTCTTACTATTATTATTATTACTACTAGTATTAGGATTTGTATTATTATTGGAATTATGATAATGAATATTATTATGTGTTGAATGTATTTTCTTAGTAGTACTAGTATCAGTAGTATCATTGTTAGTCTTAGTACAAGTATTCGTAGTAAGTATATTATTATCGATAATAGTTTTCTATTATTATTAATATGGTTCGTCTTCTTAATATCATCAGTAGTATGTTTATTCCTCATATTCCTCCTCCTCAGCCTCCTCCTCCACCTTCTCCTTCTCCTCCTCCTCCTCCTCCTCCTCCTCTCTCCTCTCAGCCCTCCTTCTACCGCCCTCATTCAGCTCTCATTCCTCTCCTTCCTCTCATCATCCTCATCACATCCTCCTTCCTCTCTCATCCCCCTATCTCCTTTTTCTTCCTCCTCCTCCTCCCCCTCCTCCTCCTCTTCCCCCCCGGCCGGGTTCCCCCCTGGCCTGGTAGGAGCGGCCGTACGTCTCGACGTAAGCGGCAAAGTCCATCGAGGGGCTGCCGCAGTCCCCGCGGACCTCGGGGGACGGCAGGCATGCCACGCCTTGTCCGCTTGAAGTGTCCTATACAATCCTCCTCCTCCTCCTCCTCCTCCTCCTCCTCCTCCTCCTCCTCCTCATCCTCCTCCTGATTGCAGCGCGGGCCGAAGGCAGGGGAGGGAGCCATTTCGACGGCACCTTCATCCGGTGCCCCTACGGGCTTGCTCATATCGATGCCATGTCGCCCGCCCAGGCGGCATAGCTGACCATAGGCAAGACGCGTGGTGTTACGTGCACTCGCCGCGGAGCGCGGCTGCATCCTGTAATTGGACACTGCCGTTATGGAGCGCTTGTCCCGCTCCCGTATAGTAGTAGAGCATGTGGGCATTCTTATAGCTCACATGGCCGCCCGCGCCCTCGAGAAACTTGAGGGTATCCCCGCCCAGCCCCTCCTCCACCTCATCCCTTCTCTCGCTCCCCCTTTTTGTTTCCCTCCTCGAGGCGTGCCTCATGAGATGGTTTGGGACCAAGACGTCCAGCGTTTCCGATGCGTGGCGTGGTCGTCCAGTCGCCACATACGTGTCTTTGCGAAAGCCGCCTGCACTGACCCTCATGGTGCAAGGCATGTGGTTATAAACATACGCACACACATCTATACATATACATACATATATCAACTGTAGATATAAATATAAGTGTAAGTTCTGTGGTTCGTACTCGTCCACACATGTAGCATATCTTGCGCCCCAGTGCAATCACGAGACGGCCTCTGCCACAGGCCGGGGTCGTCTCGGGCGCCTGCTCGGCGGACTTGACCCGAAGCGAAATGTGTCCTTGGGCCATGTGGTCCCCGCCACCCTCAGACTGTGCAATGAGCTTGGAGATACTACCGCAATGGACTCCAGTTGAGCCTCGGCCCCACACCTTCCTTGACTGCCGTGCACACAGCTCTGCACACATCAATCCGCACAAAAGGTACCAACACGTTGTGTTACCGTCGCACGGCAGGGCAATGTAGCATAGCAGCTCTGCAGTACACCGTCATGAAAAAGAATTGTATAGTCAGTTGCGCGAATAGTTGGACTCTCCTGTTATGAAGTTCACACACACACACACATTTGAATTCTGGGTGGTGCATGGCCGTCCCCGCAGAGATGGATAAAGATTGGTATGGAGTTGATGCTGATTGATGCGATGTTGCGACCAGGGGAAGAGGGCCACACTTTGTTGTTGCATGCCGGGACCTTTTTCCGACCAGATTTTTTTTCACGGCAAGCAAGAGTACAGGCAACCAGTGAGCATGCGAGCGTTCCTCAGGGTGCGAGGATGGTTACACTTTGCATGTGGGCACCGAACAACTGCACCTCCATTGAAACAGCCAGCAAAACGGCCAGGCGAAACACTTAAATTTGTACCGAAGGCGGCCAAATTGTCGGTGCGTCTCCCGCTCGGGCGCGTGGGTCCGCATGTTCGCCCTTCTCCCGTGCCTGTTTCGCTGCCTGCTCCGCACTCTCTGTTCTCGGGCCTGCCTCTTCGGAGGCAGGCCAATCCAGCATCCAGCATCCTCCCTCCTTACTCCCTCCTCCTCCTCCTCCTCCTAATCCTCCTCCTCTCCTCCTCCTCCTCTCTTCCTCATCATCCTCCTCCTCTTCCTCCTCCTCCTCCTCCTCCTCCTCCTCTCCTCCTTCCTCTCTCCCTCCTCCACTCCTCATGATCATTCTCCTCCCTCCTCCCTCTCCCTCCTCCCTCCTCCCTCCTCCCTCCTCCTCCCACTCCTTACCCCCTCCCATCCTCTTTCCCTTATCTCTCTCGTCTCCTCTTTGTTGCTCTTTTTTTATCCACCTCCCCCATCGTTCCCCTCATCGTTCCCCCTCCTTCCTGCCGACGACGACAGCGGTGGCGGGGGCGGCGGCGGCGGCGGCGGCGGCGGCGGCGGCGGCGACGACGACGACGACGACGACGACGACGACGACGACGAGGCCCTCCCCGCGGACTTCCAGGGACAGCGCTCCGGCCACGGGGGCCCCGAGCGCGAGGAGGGCCGCTTGCAGGCCTGGGGGCGCCATGGCGGCGGAGTGGAGCTGCGCCCTGCGCACGGGCGTGCGCGAGATACGGATGAGGGAGTGTGGTTTGAATGCTTGAACCTGAGGAAGAGGATGGAGGAGGAAGGAGGGAGGAAAGAGGAGGAGGAGGAGGAGGAGGAGGAGAAGAAGAAGGAGGAGGAGGAGGAGGAGGGGGAAGGAGGAAGAGGAGGAGGGAGGAGGAAAGAGGGAGGAGGGAGGAGGGAGGAGGGAGGAGGGAGGAGGGAGGAGGGAGGAGGGAAGCGAGGAAACAGGGAGGACGAGAGGGGGGGAGTGGGGATGCGGGAGATGAAGGTGGGGAGGGAGGATGGGAGAAGAAGGGAGGTGATGGGGACACCGGGAGGGGACAGAAGGAGGGAGGAGTAAGAGAGGAGGGGGAGGAGGAGCGAGATAGAAGAGGAGGAAACAGGAGAGGACAGAAAGAAGAAGGGCGGAAGGGAGGATAGAGGAGGTGAGGCAAAGCGAGGAGGGAGGAAGGAAAGGCAGGATGAAGGGAAAGTAGGGACTCGGCCAGGATGAAGGGCGAAGGGCCAGGTGAAGAGGAAGACCACAACAGGAAGGAGGAGGAGGCAGGATGGAGGAAGACGAGGTAGGAGTCCCTGCAAGATGGTATCCGGAATTCCGTGGCCCTAGAGCATAACAAGTGCATTTGGGAAACAACCGCGGCTGCCATTGGCACTCCGGTCTTGTTTTGCATGTGATGCGAGGCCATCGCTACTAGCAAAGCCATCAAGTTGAGGTCTCCTTGCACCCCACTCCCGAACAGCGACCTTAGGAAGCTGACGAGGGGGGAATTTCCAGGAAGCACGACGAAGACTCACATCTGCACACCCTGGCCCATGGGAGTGGGCGCTAGCAGCAGCAGCATTGGCGGCAGCGATAATTGCGCTGCAGCCGCTGCCGTTTCATCCATCGCCGCCCGCTCTCTCCAGGCTGCCCTGGAGGACAGGCGGCTGACATTGCACCCGGGGTATTATGTATTGTTGTTATTTTGGGCAGTGTTGGGCAGTGCGCTCCCTGTCCACGGAGGCTTCGAAAGCTTCGAAGGAGAGGGAAGAGGATGGAGGAGAAACAAGATGGATGAGAACGGAGGAGGAGGAGAAGGAGGAAGAGGAGGACAGAGGATGAAGGATGGAGGATGGTGAACAAAGGAGAACGAGGAGGAAGATGAGGGCGGACAAGAAGGGGAGCGGAGGCGGATGAGGAGGGAAAAAGAAGCAGATAGAAGGGAAGGGAGGAGGAGAAGCAGCTATGAGAAAGGAAGGAGGAAGCGAATGAGCCTGAGCCCTCAGAACAACCCCGGCACTCGCGTTTGCTTTCAGCTCTCGAGGCTCTCGCGCCTGATTTCGGTGTCTCCTCCTCCCTCCGCCTGCCTCCCCTCGTCCTTCCTCACCCGCGCCTCATCCTCCTCATCTTCCTCCTCTCCTCGCGCGATCGCGGAGGGGGGGGCGGATGACGAGGGGGAGAAGGAAAAGGACGACGAGGAGGACGAGGAGGGAGCCACGGCTTCGGCCATGGCTCGGACTGCCCGCAGCTGGAAGGCAGGAGGGGGGCCACGATGACCGCGATGAGACGAAGGAGAGGGAGCAGGGAGGAAGGAAGGTGGAGGAGGGGGGAAGAGCAGGAGAACGAGAAGGAGGAGAAGGAGGAGGAGAAGGAGAAGGAGAGGAGGAGGAGGAGGAGGAGCAGAAGGAGGAGGAGGAGGAGGAGGAGGAGGAGGAGGAGGAGGAGGAGGAGGAGGAGGAGGAGGAGGGGGGGAGAGAGAGAGAGAGAAAAAGAGGAGTGGGGGAACCGTGAGGAGGAAAAGGAGGAGGACGACGACGACAACGACGAAGAAGATGATGCGGATCCTGAACACTCTCTGGCCACCGCCGAATCCAGTGGCTGGCTGGCGGCCGCGGGCGCCGGCGCGATCCCGAAAGACAAGAGGAGCTCTGGCCATGACCCACGGATCGATGATGTCCAGGACAGGGGTGGAAGGTGGAGCTCTGGCCATGACCCACGGATCGATGATGTCCAGGACAGGGATGGCCGATGACCCGCGGATCGAAGGTGGAGCTCTGGCCATAACCAACGTGTCAGGCGCTGCGGTGTGTTGGCGTTCCTTAGGGCCAACGCCTCCGCAGCGCCTGACAGATCCCCAAATGAATACCCCCAGATCAACACGTTGAAGCTACGATGGCTGCGATGCCCACTGTGCCAGCGCCAGCGCAAGCTTGGGCACCGAACCCCTTCACTGCGACGAAGGCGGCGCCGTGAGGGCCGACACAGGCTGCGTGCCATCGGCAGAGCTAGCTCACACGCATCCCGAAGAGCATCGAGCGGAGCCCGAGCGCATCACGGGCCCTGCGGAACCGGGCCCGCTGCGGCGTGCTGGACGGGCAACGGGGTGCGGCACGACATTAGACGAGCGCGTTCCACTACTCGCAAAGTGACTACTCGCAAATGGCCTGGATCCGCTAGGGGGGATCTGCGAGAAATTGTAGAATCAGACATGTCTTTTTCGGGCGTTTGCGAGCAGACACTTTGCGAGTAGTGGAACGCGCTCGGTGAGGCATTGAGGCCCAGGAGAGCCTGCCTGTCGCTGCTGCCAGGACCCTGAGCGCGAGGATCCACGGCGAGGGCAAGCCGGCGGACGGGGAATCCGACGAGGACACCACCAAAAGCACCGGCCCACCCCCCAGACTCGGCGCGGAGCCGAAACCGAACCGGACCGGCCGCGCCAGGATGCACAGCTTCGCCCTGCAAGCATCGGGCCGCCTTGGGCCGTCGAAGATCGGGAGCGAAGTGGATCGGGCCAGCCGAAGCCGACGCCGAATCGGAGCGGTCGGATGGAAGCGGACCTGCCACGTGGCCGGCACCGAGGCGGTAGCACCACTCCTGTCTGGAGAAGTGGCCGGCGTTGGCCCAGGAGCTCAATCACCACGCCGAGCTGGAGATATGGCCAGCGCTGAGGTGGGACCTGCACTCCCAGCTGTTACCAGCCTCGAACTTATCCCTATCCCTAAGATTGACACGCCGAAAGGCGATGACAATCTTAGGGATGCGCCCTCAAAAAATAAGGGAATCCCTAAGATTGGCATCGTGATGAGGAGATGCCCAGCATAGGGATAGGGATATGTTCCAGGCTGGTAGAGCTGGAAAGGTGGCCAGTGCTGAACCGAAAGCGCCGTTCTGGGCTGGGAGTGCGGCTGGTGCCAGGGTGAGGGTACTATCCTGGTGCTGAGGGCGCGTTTCCGCGCGCTCCCGTTGAGAAGTTTAGAGGAGGGCGAGGGTGAACGGCGGCAGCTGGAGCAGGAGCAGGAGCGAGAGCGGGCGCAAAAAGGGGGTGCAGGGACAGGGGCGACGACGACGAATGCCTCGATGATGTCTGCCTGGCCGAGAGCCTCGGCTGCCCCGTCGAAGTCCAGCTCGAGTACGTTCCAGAGGACCTCGGCCGCCACCAGCAGCACGTCCGAGCCCAGCAGGTTCACGCGCACGACGTGCACGAGGTTGGATATGAGGCCTCCAGCGAAGGCACGACGTGCCCGAGTTTCACGCGCACGACGTGCACGAGATGGATACGAGGCTTCCGACGCACGCGCGACGTGCACGAGGTGCACGCGCACCACGTGCACGTGAAAGACAGAATGGGGGGGACGACGATGACGACGCCGGCGACGACGTGAAGGGCGGAAAGGAGGGAGGTCCTGGCAGGGCATGTATCCATATCTGCGAGGTTGGAGACGTCGGGGGATATCGCGGAGCATGGGGCAGGAAATATCCACATCCAACGTTCCGCAGTCATCTGGGGCAAGCAGATAGGCAGATATGGATGGATCCTCAGTGGAGCGGAGAAGGAGGAATAAGGAGGCGATGACGACGGCGATCACCGAGGGGCGAAGGGGGTGAAGCAGACATGCCCAGACTGCTTCGTCTGCCAAGCGTGAAAGGGAGATCATGGTGCCACAGGTTTCTATATCTCGCAAACAGGGCGTGCTCCGACCGACCAGGATTGTTGTGTTCGCGCTCCGACCTTCACCTCTCCCTCCTCCCTTCTCCCTCTTCCCATCCACTTCCCTTCGAGCTGCTTCGATCAAGGCTAGAAGCCAACAAACATGCATTCAAGGACCAGGAGCTTCTATGCTGGCGTCAACACGCCACGACCACCTTCAAGCTTTAGTATAAAGTCTTCCTGTGGTAACCCTGATGGTAGAACTGTCCGTGATGGACGGGCTCACGCCATTCAAAAATAGCTTGCTGAAACCAGACGCTAAGAAGCAAGAACGAGACATCATGACCGCTTTTGCATGGCTCGCCCCTCACCTCCCCCACGGACAAAAATTCCAAAAAGCTTTGCGCCTGGTGTCAAGATGCTGCATGGGCTGAAGACGTATTTCCCCCCAGGATTACTGCACTAGCCTCGGTAATCTCAGCCTGAAGACCCGAAGCGTGTGTCGAAATGAATGCATTGTCGAAGATGTTCAATGAAAGTTAAGAATAAATCCTCGAGGGCAGCAATGACCACAGAACATGACAACACTCGAGTGCACCACCGCGCTTTGACGCGGCTGGTGTCTGTTGGACATCCTGCTTTTGTTCGCTGGTGTCGCCCATTGCGAAGCAGCAGATCGGCCCCCGACGCATCAAGCCCAGCCTGCGCCCTGCGTCCACTTCAGTCCCTCGCATCGTTTGGCCTGTCGCACGGAAAATCACGAAAAAGACACCGTTACCAGCGGGAGTGGCCTGTGGACCTTGCCCTTGCCACCCCCCACCCACACACCCACCCACCCCTCCCCCCAACCCACCCCATCCCAACTTCCCCCAAAGGAAAAAAACATCCTGGCGAAGGACCCAATCATCTGCAGTTGTGAGTACCGCAGTGGTGCGTACCATCTTCGGTAACGCTCCCTATGGGGCCACGAGGAGTGCGCCGAAATTGGTGGCGTGGACACATGCGGGCGCAGCCATTGGGGCTTTCGGTGGCGCTCCCAATGGGGCCACGAATCGTCTGAGGGGTGTGCCGAAATGGGTGGCGCGCGACGCATGCGGGCGCAGCCATTGGGGTTTTCGGTGGCGCTCCCTATAGGGCCACGAAACGTGTGAGAGGTGTGCCGAAATGGGCGACGGGGACGCATGTAATCACAGCCACTGGACCTTCGGTGGAGCTCCCCATGGGGCCACGAAACGCTGTTCTGGGTGGGCGGGACGCATGTGATCGCAGCCACTGTGGCCCTCGGTGGAGCCATGGGGCTACGAAACATCGAACTATTGGCGCGGGACGCATATGATCACAGCCACTGCGGCCTTCGATGGAGCTCCCTATGGGGCCACAAAGCGCTGTTCTGGGTGGCGCGGGACGCAAGTGAACACAGCCACTGGGGCCTTCGGTGGAACTCCATATGGGGCCACGAAGAGCCGTGCTAGGTCGCGCGGGACGCATATACTTACAGCCACTGGGGCCTTCGGTGGAGCTCCATATGGGGCCACGAAGCGCCGTACTGGGTGTCGCGGGACGCACGTGATCACAGCAACTGGAGCCTTCGGTGGAGCTCCCTATGGGGCTACGAAACGCCGCACTGGATGGCGCGGGACGCATGTGATCTCAGCCACTGGGGCCTTCGGGGAAGCTCCCCATGGGGCCACGAAGCGCTGTACTGGGTGGCGCGGGACGCATGTGATCACAGCGACTGGGGCCTTCGGTGGAGCTCCCTATGGGGACACAAAACGTCGTACTGGGTGTCGCGGGACGCGTGTGATCGCAGCCACTGGGGCCTTCGGTGGAACTCCCTATGGGGCCACGAAGCGCCGTACTGCGTGGCGCGGGACGCATTTACTCACAGCCACTACGGCCTTCGGTGGAGCTCCCTATGGGGCCACGAAACGCAGTGCTGTGGGGCACGGGACGCATGTGATCACAGCCACCGGGGCCTTCGGTGGCGCTCCCTATGGGGCCACGAAGCGCCGTGCTGGGTAACGCGGGGCGCATGTGATCACAGCCACTGGAGCCTTCGGTGGAGCTCCCTAGGGCCGCGAAACGCCGTACTGGGTGGCGCGGGCCGCATGTTATCACAGCCACTGGGGCCTTCGGTGGAGCTCCCTATGGGGCCACGAAACGGAGTGCTGTGTGGCGCGGGACGCGTATGATCACAGCCACTGGGGCCTCCTGTGGCGCTCCCTATGGGGCCACGAAACGCCGTACTGGGTGCGCGTAAGTGGTGGACATGCAGAGGGCAGAGGAAAGGGCGGGAGGAAGAGGGGGAGGAGGAAGGAGAAGAGGAGAAGAGGAGAAGAGGAGAAGAGGAGAAGAGAGGAGAGGAGAGGAGAGGAGAGGAGAGGAGAGGAGAGGAGAGGAGAGGAGAGGAGAGGAGAGAGGAGAAGGAGGAGGAAGAGGATGAGGAGGAGGAGGATAGGAGAGGAGAGGTAGAGGATATGAGAGGAGAGGAGAGGAGAGGAGAGGAGAGGAGAGGAGAGGAGAGAAGAGGAGAGGAGACGCGACGCGGGGCGTTGTTGCTTATGTTTGTTTCTCTCTCTCCCTCTCTCTGTCTGCTTTCTCTCTCTCTCTCTCTGCAAAACGAGGGCCCGACACAACAGGATGGTTGGGAAAAACCTCCCCCATCCTGGACACAGCGGTGACGGATGCGCGCTGCAGCGCAACAGCACCGGGCAGGCACAGCGCGCCAGACTCTCCCGAGCAGCCGCGGCGGCGGCGGCAGCCGAGGGCGCGAGCGGGAGCAGCAGCAGCAGCAACAGCAGCAGGAGGAGGACTTCCGCGCTATCGCGGGTGCGCCTTCCTGCAGCCAGGTGGCCAGGCAGGTGCCCAACGGAAAGGAGTAATCGGGACATCAGGGGGGCGGGCAGCGGCAGCACCACCGCCGCGACCACCACGAGAAGGACGAGGAGAGCACGGCCAACGTGCCCGCTGCAGTCGAAAGGCCGAGGGCGAGGACTCGGCAGAGGGCACGGGGACAGCGAGGGCGATGGCGGCGAGAAGGCGGGGGCGGGCACGACGAGGGCAGAGGGGCACGCGGGCGACGACGGCAGCCAGGGCTGCGCGGGCAGCATCGCGGGGGGAGGGGGGGCCGCAGTTGGTGATCTGCTTCGACAGGGGCCGGTACAGCGACATGTCCCGAATGGCGCCGAGCGTGATCACGATCGCCTCGGGGCTGTCCTCGCCAGGGGCCCGGGCCGGGCGCCGTGCTGGCCCTCCCGCGCCCCTCCACCTCGTCCTCGGGGGGTCCCTCGGCCCAACCTTTCCTGTGGGCTTCGCGCCGCGGGGCGTCCCCTCTGCGCGGGAGCTCCTGAGTCGAGGCCGCGGCCCTCCCACCCGCTCGCGGGCCGCGCGCGTCGGGTCCTCCTCCTCCTCCTCCTCCTCCTCCTCCTCCTCCTCCTCCTCCTCCTCCTCATCTTCCTCCTCCTCCTCCTCCTCCTCCTCCTCCTCCTCCTCCTCCTCCTCCTCCTCCTCCTCCTCCTCCTCCTCCTCCTCCTCCTCCTCCTCCTCCATCCCATTTCTTCATGCCCCACTTCGGCTTGCCTAAGGGGCTCTTACTTGGTTAGAGGTTGGTGCCTCGGATTCTTACGTGGCCCGTTGATCGAAGGGGTTCCCCGGGTTCCTCGGGTTCCCCAGGTTCCTCGCCCTCGGTGCCTCCGACTCTTACGTTGCCCGTTGCTCGGAGGTTCCTCAGGTTCCCCAAGTTCCTCGGGTTCCCCGGATTCCTCGGGACTCCCGGGTTGACGGGTTGGGCTCCCCAGGTTCCCTGGATTCCCCAGGCTCCCCGGGTTCATTCCCCAAATAGGCTTGCCTAAGGCAATGCCAAGAAATGCCAAGCAATGCCAAGCCAATGCCCAGCAATGCCAAGCAATGCCAAGCAATGCCAACCACTGCGCCCAGCGATGCGCCCATGCAATAGGCTTTCCCCAAATTGGGGTCGCGCCAGGTTCATTCCCCGCTTCAGCTTGCCTTCGGGGTTCTTCCTCGATTAGAGGTTGGTGCCTCGAATTCCTACGTTGCCCGTTGCTCGAAGGGGTTCCCCGGGTTCCTCGGGTTCCCCAGGTTCCTCGCCCTCGGTGCCTCCGACTCTTACGTTGCCCGATGCTCGGAGGTTCCTCAGGTTCCCCAAATTCCTCGGGTTCCCTGGATTCCTCGGGACTCCCGGGTTCCCCGGGTTCCCCGGGTTCCTCGGGTTCCCCAGGTTCCTCGGGTTCATTCCCCAAATAGGCTTGCATAAGGCAATGCCAAGCAATGCCAAGCAATGTCAAGCAATGCCAAGCAATGCCAACCCATACCAAGCGACGCGCCCAGCGATGCGCCTATGCAATGGGCTCTCCCCCAACTGGGGTCGCGCTGGGTTCACAAATTACTCTTCCCTGTCGCACCCCGAGACGTGTTGGTAGGGCGAGCCAGGCATGTCGCCTGAGACTTCCTCACGATTAATGGCCCTTCATCTTAAAATCTGCAACGCTTGACGGGTGGAGGGTGGACTGTTTTCAAAACGTGGCTCTCCACTCAGCGCCGCGCACATTCGTCTTAAAAGTACAGCTTTTTACGGATGCAGGGCGGTTCCTTCTCAAAGTGTGATTCTCGCCTTAGCGCCGCGCACATTCGTCTTAAGAGTTCCCAACCGTTTCAAGGATTCGAATGGTTGACGTTCCAGAAACGGTGCTTTGGCACGATGTAGGACTGTCAGGGTGTAACAGTCACATTAGTTGACGGTTTTCAAGTCCCACGAATGGTGTTCTGGCACGATCAGGGATCTTCGGTACGCAGCAATAACGTTGATTCGCGGCGTTGAAATTCCATGAATGGTGTCTTGGCGCTGGTCAGCATTTTCAGATGGTTGTCTTCCAACGGCGCACTGCCTTCATTGAAAGTAGATCCTTGTACGGACCTGCGAAGAGGGAACTTGGAGGGAGGGTGTATTGCAAGCTCGTTGATGAATCTTGGACTAACACTGGTCCTTCTCCTCCTCCTCCTGAGCTCCTCCTCCTCTTCCTTCTCCTCCTCCTCCTCCTCCTCCTCCTCCTCCTCCTCCTGCTCCTCCTCCTCCTCCTCCTCCTCCTTGCTCTGCGGCTGCTCCAGGCGCATCCCTCGTCTCTTGCACGGGGCCAAAATCGCTGGCGCCACCTCGTCGCCTCCCCTCTGGCGGTCGCCCCCCCACCCCCCCCCTCTCTGGCGATCGGGCGGCCCTTCCTCGTTTCGGAAGGAAGCGGAGAGCGCGTCGATCACCTGCGAGTGCCGGAGGATCCTCAGGTTGGGGGTGCCGGCGTCTGCCACGGCCTCGGTGTCGGGCTGGCGAGAGGGGGAAAGGGAGAGCAGGGAGGGGGGAGAAAGCAGAGAGGGGGAGAGACAGAGAGAGAGAGGGAGCAGAGAGGGGGAGAGGGGGGGGGTGAAAGAGGGAGAAGCGGAAAGGGCAAGGAAGGGGCATGAACTGGATGAGGGGAAGGACGGGCAGACGGGGGAGCGAGGAGGAGGGGGCTCGAGAGAACAGAGGAGGAGGAGGAGGAGGCTCGAGAGAAAGATGACGAGGAGGAAGGAAGGGGAGGGGGAGGATGAGGAGGAGGAGGAGGGAAAAGAGGAAAAAGAGGAAGAGGAGGAGGAAAAGGATGTGAGGAGTTCCATTAAGCGAATGATAAGCTGAAGCAGTTGAGCATATGAAGAGGACGAGAAAAAAGAGAGTGGCTGAGCGAGCAGGAGGACAGAAGAGTGGACAAGAGGAAGAACGAAAGAGTGAGAAAGAAGGGAGGAGGGAAGGGAGAGACTGGAGACAGGCAGCTGGAGGGAGCAGAGAGGCGGAAGGGGAGCTGGAAGGGGAGGTGACATGAGGCCAGGGGGAGCGGGGCAAAGGAGGGGAAGGGTGGAGATGGATGCCAGACGTGCAAAGACTAAGAGAACTATGGCGTACTCAAGCTGTCGCACAGGCGAAGGCTTGAGACGCCCGAATCTCGATTCGCCTGGCTCGATTCGCCCAGCTCGATTCGCCGAATCTCGATTTGCCCGGCTCGCTTCGCCCAGTTCTCTTTGCCCGGCTCGATTCGACCGAATCTCGAATCGCATGGCTCGATTCGCCTGGCTCGATTCGCCGCATCCCGATTCGCCTGGCTCCATTCGCACGGCTCGATTCGCCCCGCTCGAATCGCTGAGTCTCCGCTCGCCTGGCTCGATTCGCCCGGCTCGAATCGCCAGGCTCGATTCGCCGAGCTCGACTCGCCTGGGGCTCGATTCGCCCGAATGTCGCTTCGCTCGGGGCTCGGTTCGCCCAGGCTCCGTTCGCCCGAGCCTCGATTTCGCCCGGCCCCGCCCGCCCGACCCCGACCCCGACCCGCCCGTGAGGGCCCGCCCGCCCGCCCCGACCCGCCTCGCCAGGGCTCGCGCGTGCTGACTCGATGACGCGTCCTGCTTTCATGTCCCGCCCGCCCGACCCGACCCGCCTTTTGAGGGGCCCGCCCGCCCCGCCCCGCCTGTCAGGGCTTGCCCGCCCGACCCGACCCGCCCGCTGGGGCTCGCGCGTGCTCGCTCGATGATGCGCCCTACTCTGACGTCCCGCCCGCCCGGCCCGACCCGCCCGGCAAGGTCCGCCCGCCCGACCCGGCCCGCCCGTTGGGGCCCGCCCGACCCGACCCGCCGGGCTCGCACGTGCTAACTCATCCTTGAGCGCCCCGCCCGCCCGACCCGACCCGCCCGCCAGGGTCCGCCCGCCTGACCCGACCCGCCCGTTATTGAAGGGGCCCTGGGACACACACACAAATAACTAGGGACAAATAACAGGATTACCCATATTTTCCAATATTTTCTGGGTTCTTGTCTTCCCCCCACTTCCCATATTTTCCCATCGCACGCCTGCCTCCCTCCCCCATCTGGATCCCTCGCGTGCTCGGCGCAGCGAGCCCTGGCAAAACAAGCCCTGGCGAAACCAGCCCGGCGTAGCGAGCCCCGGCGAAGCGAGCCCCGGCGAAGCGAGCCCCGGCGAAGCGAGCCCTGTCGCGGGCACATCGCGACCCGGTGTCATTGGCCACGCCCACGAAGCCTTCGAACGACGGCGGCGAATGAAGAGCGCTGGCGACGTTGTTTGGCGCATGCTCAACGATGTGGCCCACGCGCCTGAGCATCGTGGCGAGACCTGTCGAACTCAATCCCAGCGGCTGGGCATCGATTGCCGCAGGGCCAGAGCAGCTTCGTGGGTTGGCTATGCGCGACGCCGACCGCTCGGAGCAGCCAGCTGTAGCCCCCCGAAAACATCGCCGCTCCACCGTTGCGCGCAGCTTGGAATCGAAGCGTCAGACACCGCGAGAGCAGCGTATCGGCGGTTTCGTTGCGGGGCATCGAGAACTCGAAAACCTCGCCGGTAGACTGGAGGCGCGACTCCTCGCCCAGTGGACTGAGGTGCGTGGCAAATCGCTATGAAGTAGGCCACGGCGCCCTCGTGCTATTCTTTGACTATGCCTCGCTGTGGCGAGCACGCCCCACGCGAGCGAGTCCTGCACCCAGTGGCGGAAGGGATACACGGACTCGCGCTCAGGTGGCCACGATGGCGGCTGGCGGGAAGCTATCCCACCACGACCGCCTCCGCTGCCCCGCAGGCAAGCACCACCAGGCATCAGGTCGGCGAGCCAGAGAAAAGCAACCACAAAAAACATGAGGATGCGACCCCTGAGCGTCAAGATGGAAGCCCTCAGGCTCAACCACGGTGAAGGCTGCGGAAGCGCCTTGGGGTTCGGGCCTGCACATGGACGAACGTCATGTCGAAGTTGGGGGCAGCCGTAGTGGTGCTGACAGCCCTGGTCGAAGCCAAGGGTAGTCAAACTTGTGCGTCAGCGTTCAGTGTTCCGCTCGGGTGGTCCGACGTGCTCGCACGGACTGCTAACACTGTCGCACACACCACGGGGCACGGTATTAGCCCAGAGAAGAGTTCCGCCGTCATGCCCGACGCGAAAGTGCGGCCAGCACCTGTGGGGTGCGATGGGTCGTGGGAACGTCGTGGCGTTCCCCGTGGGCGGGTCGCTCTACATCGCCTCCCATACAACTGATTTTGTCCTCGCATCCATATCCTTACAGAACTCGGAAGATGTTCTTGGTCCGTGGGCGCCCAGGGCAAATCACCCGCAGATTTGCAAAACAACCATGAGCACAAGCTGCTCAGGGATTGGGGGGTGGTACCAATGCGGAGGATAAGGGCAAAGTTAATGCGCGTCCACATCGCACTCTGCGCACGTTCCGTGGATCGCGAGCTGGGATCGCCCCCAGCTGCGCTGCCAAGTATAATTGCGGGGTTTGGAAGCTTGACGAAGGAAAGCAATGCGGCAACCAACTGCCGACAGCAGATTCTTCAACACATCCATATATGTGTACTACTCGCCGGTGCAGAAGCCAAACGGCGAAAACACGTCGTATTCAATTGAGGAGGAAGACGACCATTGCAAATCCAAAATCCATCAAGGATGTTGCATTAAACCTTTCTTCCAAGCTCCCTTTTTCATGTGATCTTATAATACATATACAAATAAATACAATTACTGCGGGAACAGACCCGTTTGGAAAACGATCGTCTGAAAATGTTCAACCGCGTCACAACACCATTCGCGGGACCGCAACGCAGCGAATGAACGTTACTCATGCGACCTGGCGATCCAACATCTGTCCAGAACACCATTTTGGGGACGTCAATACCGCGAACCAACGTGATTGTCCCACCCGGACAATCACAATGCGTGAAACAACACCTTTAGTGGGACGTCAACCACAAGGGTCCTTGAAACTGCTGTAAACTGTTAACACAAATGTGCGCGGCGCTGGTGCGAAAACCACATTTTGAAACGAATGCCCTCCACCCGCGCAACGATGGCAAACTTTAAAACCGATTGCGAACGGCCCTAATGCGAGAACCACAGTCAGAAAACGGCCCATCCTCCATCAGTGAAGCGTTTGCAAATGTTGAAGGTGAATACGCACGGCGCGAAAGCGAAAGCCACATTTTGAAAACGGCCCGCCCTCCATCCGTGAAACCCCTGGCAACATTTAGACGAATGCACGCGGCGCTAAACCAGAGCCACATTTTGAAAACGACCTGCTTCCACCCGAAAAACTTTTGCAAATTTCACGCTTCAGGATCATCCACGATGAGAAAATCTCAAGCGAAACGCCCGGCCCACCTTGCCGACCCGTGCGCGGAACGCGACAAGGAGAAATTGAATATTATGACGAAGGATGGAGGAGGACGACGAGGAGGAGGAGGAGGAGGAGGAGGAAAGGGAGGAGGAGGAGGAGCAAGGGGAGGAGGAGGAGGAGGAGGAGGAGGAGGAGGAGGAGGAGGAGGAGGAGGAGGACGAGGAGGAGGAGAAGGAGAACGACGCCGACGACGACGACGACGATGTCGACGACGACGACGACGACGACGACGACGACGACGACGACGACGACGACGACGACGACGACGACGACGGTGACGACGACGACGACGACGACGACGACGACGACGACGGAGACCGCCGACGACGCATCCGCCAGGGGAAGAGGTGGGAGGAGCACAAATCGCAACATCCCAGGGCGGAGCCGGGGCGGGGCGCCTGGATAAGCGGCTGGTCGGGCTGCGGCTCCACGCTGTCCTGCGGCCAGCGGGGGCGGGGGCGACGACCGCTCGAAGCACGACGGCCCCTCCTGAGCAGTCCAGACCTCCTCCTGAGGAGACCAGACCTCCATCTCTCCCTTCCCCTTTTTCCTCACCTCCTCCATTCTCTTGCGCGCGCCAGGGGGGCGCCTTTTCTCGTCGCAGCGCGGCAGAGACAACCCGCACGCGCGCTCTACGATTTATCTGGCACGCGTACGGAGCATCCGGCTGCAAGAGGGGGCAGGCGAGGAGAGGCGGCCGCGAAGGACTGGAGGGGGAGGAGGGCAGTCACCACGAAAAGACTTTCAGCTTGAGCGCGCAGGTGCGGCCAGCCAGGGCTAAAGTGTCCTGGCAGTGGGCGCGGGACGGCGTCACGACCACACCCAGGGACCGAAGCCAGGGCTGCAGGGGCGGGAAGCGTGATGAGCAAGGCGAACCAGTGCGCAAGGGAGAAAGGCACGAAGAGGACCCACGGCAGTAGGAGCAGGAGCATCCGAATGTTCATCACGATTCCGTGAACATTTGACCTTGCTGCAGAGAAACGGAGCCAGCTGGATGCGGGAGCACGGCCCAAATGGCCGAACGAGGAGATCGTGAGGGGCTGCGCCAATGCGCGTGAGCTGCAGCGAAATGCTGCCGTACGAAGCCCCCAGGATGCTGAACTGCTGCGGCGGTGCAGCAGGGCCTCCTCCTCCTCCTCCTCCTCCTCCTCCTCCTCCTCCTCCTCCTCCTCCTCCTCCTCCTCCTCCTGCTCCTCCTCCTCCTCCTCCTTCCTCCTCCTCCTCCTCCTCCTCCTCCTCCTCCCCTCCTCCTCCTCCTCCTCCTCCTCTCCTCCTCCTCTCCCTCTCCTCCTCCCTCCGCCTTGTCCTCATTCTCCACCTCCTCCTCCTCCTCCTCCTCATCCTCCTCCTCCTCCTCCTCAACCTCGTCACCTCATCACGACCACCACTAGCACTACATTCACCATCGCACTCACCGTCACCATTACCATCACAATCAGCATCATCATCATCACCATCATCAGCATCATCATCGCCATCACCGTCACCATCACCATCATCATCATCATCATCATCATCATCATCATCATCATCAGCAGCAGCAGCAGCAGCAGCAGCAGCACCAGCATCAGCATCATCATCATCAGCAGCAGCATCATCATCAGCATCATCATCATCAGCATCAGCATCAGCATCAGCATCAACACCAGCATCAGCATCAACATCATCATCATCATCGTCACCAGCAGCAGCAGCATCACCATCATCGTCGTCAGCCGCATCATCATGAGCAACATCGTCATGTACATCATTATCATCATCATCATCATCATCATCATCATCATCATCATCATCATCATCATCATCGTCATCATCGTCATCATTATCATCATCGTCATCAGCATCATCATCATATGCAGCATCATCACCAGCATCAACAGTGTCATCCTCAACCTCAACGTCATAATCATCGTCAGCATCACCATCATCACCATCATCATCACCATCATCCTCATCATCAGCAGCATCATCGTCGTCGTCGCATTCCACATCATCATCACCATCATGATCACCATCAGCAGGGATAGCATCATCACCACCAACATCATCATCATCATCATCAACATCATCAGCATCACCTCCACCACCCTGATTCGCATATTCCCCCTCCTCCTCCTCATCATCATCAGCATCAGCATCATCATCGGCATCATCATCATTATCATGATCATCATCATCAGCAGCATCATCATCGTCGTCGTCATCGTCGTCCACATCATCCTCGTCCGCATCAGCATCGCCATTATCGCCATCATCATCCCCATCAGCACGTCAGCAATATCATCGTCATCCTCATCATTACAATCAGCATCCTCGTCATCCTCATCATCATCATCATCATCATCATCATCATCATCATCATCGTCATCATCATCAGCATCAGCATCATAATCGTCGTTATCATCAGCAGCAGCAGCATCATCGCCACCATCATCAACATCCTCAGCATAAGCAGCAGCAGCTTCAGCAGAAGCATACTCATCATCATCATCATCATCATCATCAGCATCATCAGTATCAGCATCATCATTGACATCAGCAGCATCCCAATCATCATCATGATCAGATCAGCATCATCAGCATCATCATCATCGCTATCATCATTGTCACACCCACCATCACCATCACCATCACCATCGTCGTCATCATTATCACCACCATCACCATCACCATCACCATCACCATCACCATCATCAGTATCATCATCACCATCATCAGCCTCGCCATCTTCGTACTCGTCTTAATATATGTGTGCATCTTCGTCACCGTCTTCGTCGGCGGAGGCGTCGTCGGCATCTTCATCCTTATATCTGTACTCGCTGACGTGTTTGCTCACTCGCGCGGTTGATAGCCCACGGGCCCGAATGTCCACCTGCCCGCTTGCCTGCATGACAAGCCACCCGCCCAGCGTCTGTATGCCTGCTTGCCTGCTTTGTTGCTATCGTGTTCGCCGGGTGACAGCTCTCCAGCAAACATCCCACTCCTCCACTGGTCTATTGCCCCGTCCAGCCGTCCCCTTGTCCGCCGTCGTCGCGAGTGCATGTGGGACGGCGCAGCCCTGGCTTTTTTTCCTCCAGCGCACGATATTCGTTTTGTCTTTGTTCCCAGAGCGAGACGACACCACAGATGAGAGAAAGGACGCGTCTCCAATGCAACCTCTCTGTTGCACCGTACCGAGCACTCCATGCCCCTGGACCCCTTTCAGAGCAGGGTGCAACAGAACACGGCGCAGCCCTGGCTGCCCCACAGAACGCAGAAATGGCGCAGACGAGTCGATGTCTGCTGCCTTGCCCCGTCCAGCCGTCCCCTTTTCCGCCATCGTCCCGAGTGCATGTGGGACGGCGCAGCCCTGGCTGCCCCACACAACGCAGAAATGGCGCAGACGAGCAGATGTCTGCTGCCTTGTCCTCGGCTGGGGGCCACTGGTGCCACTGGCGCCTCGCCCTCTGCCGCCGCTCGCCCCGCCCCGCTCCCACTCTTGCGACCCGCCCACCCACCCAGGAGGAGGAGGAGGGGGAGGAGGAGGAGGAGGAGGAGGAGGAGGAGGAGGAGGAGGAGGAGGAGGAGGGGAGGAGGAGGAGGGGGGAGGAGGAGGAGGAGGAGGAGGAGGAGAGGAGGAGGGGGAGAGGAGGAGGAGGAGAGGAGGGGAGGGCGGAGGAAGGCAGAGCCACGGCAGGCAGGCACGCGTCCGGGCCTCGTCAAGCCCGAAGCGCGACCAGCACGCGAGCGTGTGCGCAACCTCGATGCGGATGCGCTCGAAGAGGGCGCGGCGCTCCTCGAAGATGCGGAGTGCCTGCCGCGCCCGCTCCGACTCGGTCTCATCCTGCTCGTCGTCCCCTCCCGCTCCCAGACTTCTTTCCGACATCAAATGCCACCTTGTTGTTCCCTTGCACACCGCCGATGCCTGATCCTCCCACTCCTCCTCCTGCTCCTGCTCCTCCTCCTCCTCCTCCTCCTCCTCCTCCTTCTCCTCCTCTTCATCCTCCTTCTCCTCCTCCTCCTTCTCCTCCCCTTCGCGCACTGACAAGCGCACCAATAGCAACTGCTCATAAACATACACCAACCGCCACCACAGTTTCAGCAACCCGTACAAGTACGATCCAATCGCACTGACGTTACGACCATACCGACGCTAAGACAAACAAGCACACGGTTTGTTCCCAACCCTCCTGCGTTGGGCACTCGTTTTGAATAGAGCACTGCGGTCTCCACCCTCCTTCCTTCCCGCCCCCTCTCCTCCCGCCTCCTCCTGTCTTGCCTGCGGGGGGCTGCGATCTGCGAAACTGTCGCCACTTTCGAGGGCTGCTGGGGTGGCCAGCGGAGTGACGCCCCACGGGGACTCAGGTTAGACCTCGCCATCCCTGGGGGGCTGCGATCTGTGAAACTGTCGCCACTTTCGAGGCCTGCTGGGGTGGCCAGCGGAGTGACGCCCTACGGGGACTCAGATTAGACCTCGCCATCCCTGGGGGGCTGCGATCTGCGAAACTGTCGCCGCTTTCGAGGGCTGCTGGGGTGGCCAGCGGAGTGACGCCCTACGGGGACTCAGATTAGACCTCGCCATCCCTGGGGGGCTGCGATCTGTGAAACTGTCGCCACTTTCGACATCCCTGGGGGCTGCGATCTGCGAAACTGTCGCCGCTTTCGAAGGCTGCTGGGGGGCCAGCGGAGTGACGCCCCACGGGGACTCAGATTAGACCTCGCCATCCGTGGGGGGCTGCGATCTGTGAAACTGTCGCCACTTTCGAGGCTGCTGGGGTGGCCAGCGGAGTGACGCCCTACGGGGATCAGATTAGACCTCGCCATCCCTGGGGGGCTGCGATCTGTGAAACTGTCGCCACTTTCGTGGGCTGCTGGGGTGGCCAGCGGAGTGACGCCCACGGGGACTCAGCTTAGACCTCGCCATCCCTGGGGGGCTGCGATCTGTGAAACTGTCGCCACTTTCGAGGGCTGCTGGGGTGGCCCAGCGGAGTGACGCCCTACGGGGACTCAGATTAGACCTCGCCATCCCTGGGGGGCTGCGATCTGTGAAACTGTCGCCACTTTCGAGGCCTGCTGGGGGGCCCAGCGGAGTGACGCCCTACGGGGATCCAGATTAGACCTCGCCATCCCTGGGGGGCTGCGATCTGTGAAACTGTCGCCACTTTCGAAGGCTGCGTGGGGGGCCCAGCGGAGTGACGCCCTACGGGGATACAGATTAGACCTCGCCATCCCTGGGGGGCTGCGATCTGTGAAACTGTCGCCACTTTCGAAGGCTGCTGGGGGGCCCAGCGGAGTGACGCCCTACGGGGACTCAGATTAGACCTCGCCATCCCTGGGGGGCTGCGATCTGTGAAACTGTCGCCACTTTCGAGGGCTGCTGGGGGGCCCAGCGGAGTGACGCCCTACGGGGATTCAGATTAGACCTCGCCATTCCTGGGGGGCTGCGATCTGTGAAACTGTCGCCACTTTCGAGGGCTGCTGGGGGGCCCAGCGGAGTGACGCCCTACGGGGATTCAGATTAGACCTCGCCATCCCTGGGGGGCTGCGATCTGTGAAACTGTCGCCACTTTCGAAGGCTGCGTGGGGGGCCCAGCGGAGTGACGCCCTACGGGGATTCAGATTAGACCTCGCCATCCCTGGGGGGCTGCGATCGTGAAACTGTCGCCACTTTCGAAGGCTGCTGGGGGGCCAGCGGAGTGACGTCCTACGGGGACTCAGATTAGACCTCGCCAGCGCTGGGGGGCTACGATCTGTGAAACTGTCGCCACTTTCGAGGGCTGCTGTGGGGCCCATGAAACTGTCGCCACTTTCGAGACCTGCTGCGGGGTCCAGCATAGTGACGTCCTACGCGGACGCAGATTGGACCCGTCATTCTACTTCGATTATCCCGCATCTGCGATCGACTGTATGTGTGCGAGGAACTAGACATGGAGTGGTCTGGCACTGACTGACGTCAAATCGTTGTGTGCCAGTGTCTCCTGGGGTGTTGCCTGATGTGGATGCAGCTCGTCGGCGCTGCGACTCGAGCTGGCGGTCGTCCTTCGGACCCGCAGAAACATCTGCTGAGCTCGATGAGCTAGGGGAACTACAGGAAAGAAGTGCAGGAAACGGAGGCCGGTCATGCACTCGCCGATACCTCGTTGCTCTGTCATCGTCTTTGCTGTTGCATGATCCTTATCTGGCCTGCCGGCGCCGCGGCTCGAGCTGGCGGTCGCCCTTCGGGCCCGCGGGAACATCTTCTGAGACAAGTGGACGCCGCCGCCTTACTTGCAGGCAGCGCATTGCATTTGCGGACAGCAGCATGGCAGACCGCAGTGAGATCCTCAGCCGCGTGGTGTTGCCAAGCCTGGTGGAGACGCGCGCGATCGACCTGAAGTCCCAATCGCGCGTGCACTGTACCTGCGTGGCGTTCAGGCACGCGCGTGATGCTGCTCGCTCCGCGTTCAACCAGTACGTCGCCAGTGCAACTTTGGACGATGGACAACCGATTGATGATACGCGACCCCGGCCTTGAGTTTCTTTCCCGCGGGCCGCCCGCAGACCTGGCGGCGCGCCTGCGAGCGTTCAGCTCCCGCGCTGAAATGTGCGGGAAGGAGGCGGAGAAGCTAGCGGGCGAGCTACGCCTCGCTCGTTCCTTGCACTCTAAACAAGTTTTATCATGTGGAACTCTGCGACGACATGGCGCAGGCAGCGCTGCGGGTTTAGCTCGCACTTGAAAAACGCGGCAGTCTTCTGTCTCCTCCCGCCACTTTCATCGTCGTCCTATTCCCCGCCTCACCTTCTCCATGCATGCTGCTGCTTCCGCGATGGCCTTTCGCCCCCCCCGCCCTCCATTCCATCCCTCTCCTACCCCTCGTTCCCGTACCCGTTCTTCTTCGATCCTGGGGCCTCAAGCCTCGTTCTTTCGATCGTCGTCCTGTGAATCGTGCAACGCATGCGCATCCCATGTAGCTTGCACAGCAAATCGCCGCGTCTACACTGTCGCTGTTCCTGCTAATGTTGGCATACTCCTCTTACCATTTGATGCACGTGGGTTGGGTTGGGTACGTCGCAGGGTAATTTTTCGTTCGCCTGCGCCACCTAAAAATCAGATCATCAACGAAATGTCGTTTCCATGGTCTTCTAACGCGGAGCCTTCGCCAAATTTGTGGCTGCGGGCGGCAATGCAGAATGCGACAGTAACGCCACGATTCGCACCTCTGGAGGCCTCTGGAAAGCCCTCCCTCTGGGGCCTCCGGAAACCTCCGGGGCCCTGACGACGACGAAGGCCTCGGGCGAGACCTCCAGGGACTTCAGGAGGCCTCCAGATGCATCCAGACGAAGTTGGTCGTCATCGTCGTCGTCGTCATCGTCGTCGACGCCGTCGGTCGTCGTCGTCGTCGTCGTTGTCGTCGTCGTCGGTCGTCGGCGGCGCCGACGTCCCTAGCCACTCGCAGAGGCCGCGGGCGAAAATCGCGACGGCACTGGGGCCCTCTCCCTCCTCGTCCCTGTAGCGCCCGTTTCGGCGGCGCGCGCAAGGGGGGGTTAGGGGGAGGGGGGGAGGGCTTCTGAGCAGGAGGCTGCTTCGTAGAAGGCGCCGGCCTTACATCTACAGGGAAGGCTGCTTCCTGGAAGGCTGCTTCTTAGCAGGAGGCTGCTTCTTAGCAGGAGGCTGCTGCTTAACAGGCGGCTGCTTCCTAGAAGGCTTCTTAGCAGGAGGCTGCTTCTTAGAAGGCGCCGGCCTTACGTCTGCAGAGGAGGCCCGCGCCTTCCAAGAGGCAGGGGTGCGTCTCGGAAGCCCTCCCCCCTCCCCCCCTAATCTTAAGTCGGGCCTGTCCCCCTACAGGCCGATTTTCAACGAAAAAATGAAATTACCCTGGCGACGTACCCAACCCCTGCGCAAACGCGGGGCGCAAATAGTTTAGGACACTTTATAAGGGGATCGATGACGGAGCGAGGGTTACATATGTCTGCAGACGGCATTCGGGAGACTCGCAGGACACTCGCTACAGGACAAGGACTAGATAAAGCTGATTAGTTACAATCCCTGAGCAACCCTAGCCACTTCGAAAGCGGTGATCTCAGATCGCAGCCCCCCAGGGATGGCGAGGTCTAAGTTGGGTCCGCGCGTGGCGTCACTGTGCTGGGCCCCCCAGCAGGCCTCGAAAGTGGCGACAGTTTCACAGATCGCAGCCCCCCAGGGAAGGCGAGGTCTAATTTGGGTCCGCGCGTGGCGTCACTGTGCTGGGCCCCCAGCAGGCCTCGAAAGTGGCGACAGTTTCACAGATCGCAGCCCCCCAGGGATGGCGAGGTCTAATTTGATCCGCGGTGGGTACCCACTGTGCTGGGCCCCCCAGCAGGCCTCGAAAGTGGCGACAGTTTCACAGATCGCAGCCCCCCAGGGATGGCGAGGTCTAATTTGACGTGGGTACCCACTGTGCTGGGCCCCCCAGCAGGCCTCGAAAGTGGCGACAGTTTCACAGATCGCAGCCCCCCAGGGATGGCGAGGTCTAATTTGGGTCCGCGCGTGGCGTCACTGTGCTGGGCCCCCCAGCAGGCCTCGAAAGTGGCGACAGTTTCACAGATCGCAGCCCCCCAGGGATGGCGAGGTCTAATTTGAATCCGCCGTGGCGTCCACTGTGCTGGGCCCCCCAGCAGGCCTCGAAAGTGGCGACAGTTTCACAGATCGCAGCCCCCCAGGGATGGCGAGGTCCCATTTGAATCCGCCGTGGGCACCCACTGTGCTGGGCCCCCCAGCAGGCCTCGAAAGTGGCGACAGTTTCACAGATCGCAGCCCCCCAGGGATGGCGAGGTCTAATTTGGGTCCGCCCGTGGCGTCACTGTGCTGGGCCCCCCAGCAGGCCTCGAAAGTGGCGACAGTTTCACAGATCGCAGCCCCCCAGGGATGGCGAGGTCTAATTTGAATCCGCCCGTGGCCCACTGTGCTGGGCCCCCAGCAGGCCTCGAAAGTGGCGACAGTTTCACAGATCGCAGCCCCCCAGGGATGGCGAGGTCTAATTTGAATCCGCCGCGGGTCACTGTGCTGGGCCCCCCAGCAGGCCTCGAAAGTGGCGACAGTTTCACAGATCGCAGCCCCCCAGGGATGGCGAGGTCTAATTTGAATCTGCCCGTGGCGTCACTGTGCTGGGCCCCCCAGCAGGCCTCGAAAGTGGCGACAGTTTCACAGATCGCAGCCCCCCAGGGATGGCGAGGTCTAATTTGAATCTGCGCGTGGCCCTCACTGTGCTGGGCCCCCCAGCAGGCCTCGAAAGTGGCGACAGTTTCACAGATCGCAGCCCCCCAGGGATGGCGAGGTCTAATTTGTCCGCCCGTGGCGTCACTGTGCTGGGCCCCCCAGCAGGCCTCGAAAGTGGCGACAGTTTCACAGATCGCAGCCCCCCAGGGATGGCGAGGTCTAATTTGAATCTGCGTGTGGCGTCACTGTGCTGGGCCCCCCAGCAGGCCTCGAAAGTGGCGACAGTTTCACAGATCGCAGCCCCCCAGGGATGGCGAGGTCTAATTTGAATCTGCGTGTGGCGTCACTGTGCTGGGCCCCCCAGCAGGCCTCGAAAGTGGCGGCAGTTTCACAGATCGCACCCCCCCAGGGATGGCGAGGTCTAATTTGAATCTGCGCGTCGCCCTCACTGTGCTGAGCCCCCCAGCAGGCCTCGAAAGTGGCGACAGTTGCACAGATCGCAGCCCCCCCAGGGATGGCGAGGTCTAATTTGAATCTGCGCGTCGCCCTCACTTTGCTGGGCCCCCCAGCAGGCCTCGAAAGTGGCGACAGTTTCACAGATCGCAGCCCCCCGCAGGCAAGACAGGAAGAGGCAGGGAGGGAGGGAGAAGGAGGAAGGAAGGAGTGGAGACCACACTGCTCTATTCAAAACGAATACCCAACCAAGGAGGGTTGGGAAATAGTCAAAAAATACCTCAAAATGGTCCAAAAAAATACCCAATAAAACAGTCCCCCGACTATTCTTGACTATTTCTGGATATTCCTCCTGTGGAGGGAGGGACAGGCCCGACGAAGCCCTCGTCACCCCCCCCTCTGCGCCTAGGCCGAGGGACGGCAGGCCCGCGCAGGGGGGCCTCGGGCCCGCCGCGGGAGGAGGCCGACGTGGCCGCCCCGAGAGCCCGGCCTCGGGCCAGGGCTCCGTCGTGGGCTCCTTCGAGCGGCATGGGCGTGCGCTGCGTTCGTCGCAGGAGGAGGAGGAGGAGGAGGAGGAGGAGGAGGAGGAGGAGGAGGAGGTAGGAGGAGGCGGGAGGAGAGGAGGAGGAGAAGGAAGGAGAGGAGGAGGAGGAGGAGGAGGAGGAGGAGGAGGAGGAGGAGGAGGAGGAGGGAGGAGAGGAGAGGAGGAGGAGGAGGAAGGAGATTGGAGGAGGAGGGAGGAGGAGGAGGAGAGGTGGAGGAGGAGGAGGAGGAGGGGAGGAGGAGGAGGGGGGAGGGAGGAGGTGGAGGAGGAGGAGGAGAGGGACGAGGAGGAGGGGGCGAGGGTGCTGAGGGGCTTCGCTGGCGGCAGCAAGACGGGGCATGACGTGAAGGCGGCCCTGGAGGGTGGCCCGTCCTCAGCTCTGTCCTGGCGTGGCCCACCGGGAGCTGAGGCAGTGGGCGAAGGCTACGCGAAGCGGCGAGAGCAACAGTCGGCGGCGTCCCCAGCGCCACAGTGGGGCCCCCGCTCCGCGGCCCTCTGCCCCGAGCCCCCCCGCGTCCCCAGCGCCCCACTGGGAGCCACGCAAATTGTCCCATCCGCCACGAACGCTTTATTCCGCGTCGCACATCCACCTCCCCCCGCCCTCCCCCCCGCGTCCCCAGCGCCACAGTGGGGCGAGCCCAGGGGGGAAAGGAGAGGGGGCGGGCCTTCGCAGAGGGCTCAGAAGGCCCCCCGGCCAGCCGGGGAGTCCTCTGAGCCCCAGAGACACTGGAAGCCTGCCCAGAAGGCGAGAGGGGCCTTCGGAGAAGTCCCGCCGCCTTCGGAGAAGGCCTTCTCCTTCTCATTGGGATGGACAGACCCCCCTTTAGTAAAACGTGGTTTAGTGAAAACGACCTCAGGCCCAAACCTGACGGGCGCAAGCCTGGAAAATAACGGCCACGGCGCCATCTCGAGAACCGAAAACGGACAATTCACTAATCGACGTGTCACTGTTGGGGGTTCTGTCCACCCCTGGCTCATTGCCCCACCCCTCCCTCGCTCGCCGCCGATGAAAAAGGAGGCGCCTCAGCCTGGTCGCCGCCAGAGGGCGCCTCCTCCTCCGGCGGCAAGGAGTACTGCAGCACGCTCACCAGGACCTCGCGGGCAAACGCACGATCGATCGCTCGAGCTGTCGGGCCTCTGCCTCGGCGCAGCTGCACGCGCCTCGGGGATTGGAAGAACGAGCGGGGCCTGGCCGAGTTGATGTCGTCGGCACGCGCGAGGGGGGGGCGGGGGAGAAGGCAGAGGAGGAAGACGAGGAGCAGAAGGGTTTGAGGACTGCTGGACCCTCGCACGCAGTGCGGCTGAGCACTGGCTCTTGTCATCCCCCCCCTCAGCGCGGGGCGTGGCATGCCCAGAGGTCGAGGGTGAGCATGCCGCGCGCAGCAGGATCACGTTGCCAGCGGTCGCACACCTCGACGCACAGCGCGTTGCGAGCCGTACCTCGGGACTCTGGCGGCCGATACCCAGAACGGCCTCGCCGAGGCGCGGCTGCTGGAGAACACCCCGAGGCGGAAAGAACTCCGAGAGCCAACGAAAACTTCCTCTTCCCCGACCCCTCCGTTTCCCTCTCTCCTGATCCTCCATGTCCTCTTCCTCCTCCTCCTCCTCCTCCTCCTCCTCCTCCTCATCCTCCTCCTCCTCCTCCTCCTCCTCCTCCACCTCCGCGTCCTCCTCCTCCTCCTTCTCCTCCTCCTCCTCCACCTCCGCGTCCTCCTCCTCCTCCTCCTCCTCCTCCTCCTCCTCCTCCTCCTCCTCCTCCTCTTTCCTCCTCCTCGCTCCCTCCCTCCTCCTCTCCTCCTCCTCCTCCTCCTCCTCTCCTCCTCCTCCTCCTCCTCCTCCTCCTCCTCCTCCTCCGCGTCCTCTCCCCCTTCCCACGACGAAAACGCAGAGGAGTGCGAACGGCGCTCCTCTTCCACGCCCGACGGCGGGAGTGCCTATGCCCCCCGCCGTCGCCCTGCCGGAGCAGCTCTCTGGCTCGATGTGTGGGGTAGGACTGCGGAAAGTGCGGGTCGACCTCCTCCTCCTCCTCCTCCTCCTCCTCCTCCTCCTCCGACGACGACGACGACGACGACGACGACGACGACGACGACGACGACGACGACGACGACGACGACGATCACGGCAGGTGGCTCGGGCTCGGCCGTGCCAGGTGCCTTGCAGGTTCGCGGGGAATTCGCTGGCCCAACGGGCCAGAGGCGTGCTGAGACCTCCAGCCACAGATGTTAAAGATTTGAAGCTCTGAGGGCCAACGATAGGGGTGAATGGCGTGGAGGGGGACACATCGACCTGGAATCGGCGATACATCGCCGATAGATTGGCGGTGGGCTCCCGATCGTGAATTCGCACGTTCCTGGGCAGGTTGGGGCTATCGGGGCCCTATCGGCGATCAATGGGAGAATGGGTGTCGATGCATCCCCCCCCTATGCCTATCCCCCCCCCATCGTTGCCCCTGAAGTTCGCGCGTGCGCGTGCAGCCCTTGGGGGTCACCGGGCGAAACGTACCCCAGCCGATCTCCGGCAAGGTCAGGTCAGAGATGGTTCTGCTCCTGGGCACCGCCCTCGGGGCCCCCCAGAGAGCCCCAAGAAGGGCCAAGAGGCCCCCAAGAGGCCCCCAAGAAGGTCCAAGAGTGCACTGAGATGCCACAAGACCGCTCCAAGACGCACAAAATGGCTCCAGACAGTCCAAGGGGCCTCCAAAATGCCCAAAGAAGCCTCCCAGAGCACCCCCAAGAGCGCCCCCAAGAGCGCCAGAAAGAGGCAAAAATCATAGGTTGTCGCTAGGTTTTTGGCGCTCTCGCCATTTCGGTTTCCCGACGCTCCAAGACGGCAGAGAGGCCCACAAGATCGCCCCAAGACGGCTCGAGAGGCCTCCAAGAGGGCCTGAACACGGCCCAAGGGGGCCGCAAGACGGCCCAAGAGGCCTCCAAGACGGCCTAAAAAGGCCCCAGGACGGCCCCAAGAGAGAGCCCAGAGGGGGATCCCGAACGGACATTTCGAGCCCTCGGCCCCAAGGGGCGCCCAGGAGACCCCAAGAGGCCCCCAAGAGGCCCCCAAGAGGCCCCCAAGAGGCCCCCAGGAAGCCCCCAAGAGGACCCCAAGCTGCTCCCCAGGGACCCCCGAGAGCCCGCCGAGGAGACCAGGAGAAGCCTCCACGAGGACCCTGACCCACAGCCGAGGCACGGAGGCGGGCAGCTGGGAAGCGAGAGAGAGAAGGGAGGGAGGAAGGCGAGAATTTGTCGTTGGTGTTCCTGCTGGAATTCCCATGCAACCACGTTCATAGCCCGCCGACCTCCGCTCGCCGAAGGTAGAACACCGTGTGGGATGCGTCGCTGCCCCGATCCCCCTACCACCCTCCCCGAGAGTCCGCGATAAGGGCACGAACCACTGACGACCCCCCCCCAAGCAACCCACCCAAGAACACCTACACAAGAACTACTACACCTCCAGCCTCTGGAAATCCACCACCGCCCCCGCAGCGCCGCAGGGGCAACGAAAACGCGGGCAAATGGCAGCGATGCAACATCATGGGCCGGCTGAATGAGCGAAGCTATTACAACACTTCCAACTGGCACCAGGACGACCTCACTAAAACTTGGGGACCTCCCCCTGCTTGCCAGGTATGGGCCGTCGCCGCCGCGGGGTGCCAGCCGGATGTCAGTGGGCGGGCTGCCCGTTTCAGGCCATCGCCGCCATGGGGTTCCGGGGGCCGTCTATACGAAGCGACATGTGCACCGCGAGCCTCGGCCTCGGCCTTCGCCTTCTACTCCTGGGCCTGAGTGTGAGCGGCTGCTAGCGCTTCACGCGGCCTCGCCTGGCGCTTGTCTCCAGCCTACTCGGCCTCCGCGGACTCCTGATGGACGCAAGGAGCGGCAGAGCTGTAAGAAGTGTACCGCCGTGAGCGCGATAAGCTGGTGGACAGCGCAGCAACAGCATGACGGTCTGAGACCGACCAGGTTGGCGCAATTTCGAGCAGCCCTCTGCGAACGGCGTGCCGCGGGCATCACACACAGAATGTAAAGTGACGGCGTGTGGCGGGCCCTGGGATTCGCCACTCGAAGGCGGCAGAGCTAAGCGACTGCTGAGTCGATAGATCTGCGGTCGTGATCGCTGTGGGTGGTGTCAGGCGACTTGCATTGACAGCATGAGCTATTGCTGGCAAGAGCCGAGCGGAATTACTAGGTCCTCTCATGCAATGCGGATGGAGAACATGTCCCTGTGAACTCCTGGCAGGCTGCTACCTGAAGTGGCTGAGCAACATGGTGTCCATGTTCCTGGTGGCCAGGGTGGTACGAACACGAGCTCCGGCTCCTCTTCCCTGGCCAAGGTGGCCACGCCAGCGAGGAAGAAGAGGAGGGAGGAGGAACGGGGGAGCGAGAAAGCAAAGGGAGCAGAGAGGAGGAGGGAGGGAGGAGGCGGGAAGAGGCAAAGGAGGATGAAGAAGCCGAGGACGAGGGCAGGAGGAGAGAGGAGCAATGGGCCCCATCTCCGTGCATCTCTGCACTCCTCCTCCTCCTCCTCCTCCTCTTCTTGCTCCTCCTCCTCCTCCTCCTCCTCCTCCTCCTCCTCCTCCTCCTCCATCATCCATCATCATCATCATCATCATCATCAACATCATCATCATCATCATCATCATCATCATCATCATCATCATCATCATCATCATCATCATCATCATCATCATCCATCATCATCATCATCATCATCATATCATCATCATCATCATCATCATCATCATCATCATCATCATCATCATCATCATCATCATCATCATCATCATCATCAATCATCATCATCATCATCATCATCATCATCATCATCATCATCATCATCACATCATCATCATCATCATCATCATCATCATCTCATCATCATCATCATCATCATCATCTCATCATCATCATCATCATCATCATCATCAATCATCATCATCATCATCCAACTCCTCCTTCCTTCTCCTCCTCCCCTCCTCCTCCTCCTCCTCCTCCTCCTCCTCCTCCTCCTCCTCCTCCTCCTCCTCCTCCCTCCTCCTCCTCCTCCTCCTCCTCCTCCTCCTCCCTCCTCCTCCTCCTCTCTCCTCCTCCTCCTCCTCCTCCTCCTCCTCCCTCCTCCTCCTCCTCCTCCTCCTCCTCCTCCTCCTCCTCCTCCTCCTCCTCCTCCTCCTCCTCCTCTCACTGAAAGAGAAAGAGAAAGCGGACACGAAGCGAGCAAGGGAAGAACAAGCGGTCAAGAAGCGATGGGGCGAGGAGAAGCTCTAGCGTCCACAGGCAACGAGAAAAATATGGAAGCGCACCCATCCAGGGTTTTTTGTCGGCGCCCAGGTGGAAGGCCGAAAACCACCCAGGCGCCCGCGACAGGGCGCACTTCCAAAAGCGGCAAGGGGTGGAGGTGAGGAGGGAGGAGGGAGCCAGGAGGGACCGGAAGGCGGAGGAGACGGGCGCGCGGCGGGGAGGCGTGAGCCACCAGACCCCCCCCTTAGGCGCCCGCGCCACCCGCCGGAGGCACGGAGCGGGGAAGGAGAGGGGAGGAGAGGGAACTGAACAGAAAAACAGCAGCAAAAGCTGTATAAACGGACACAGCGAGCGCGGATGGGAAAGGGAGGAAGAAAGAGGGGCAAAGGGCGCCTGGAAGAGAGCAAGCAGGCAGCGTCGCCCCCGCCGTCCGCGCTTCAGCGCCTGCGCGCCCGCGGCGCGGCGACCCTCCCCTGGTCGCGGGGAGCCCCGGCACCGCTCAGCGCCTCAAGAGGCGCGGCAGGGCGCGGCGGCCGGGCGGCCACACCGAGGTGTTGTAAGCCTCGGCGTTCGCCTTTGGAGCGCGGCGGCCAGGCTCTGGCGCGCCGCCGAGAGCGCGGTCGCGTCGCCGGCCGCCCAGGTGCGCAGGAGGCCCCGCGCTTCGCGCCCTGGCCGGCCGAGCGTCTCGAGCGCGAAAGCGCGCAGTGCCGCGCCAGGGTAGCGGCGGTGCTTCCGCTCCTCTGCCGCAGCCGCCGCGGCTCCGTCGCGCCATGCTCGGCCCCGCCCTGCTGGAGTCGCGGCCCCGGCTGCAGCGTTGGTCACCACGACGTCCACATACGCGGTGCCTGCCACTGGGTCCACGTAAGTAACGTCCAGGCGCGCCGCTTCCAGACGGCCGTCTTGGTGGACCCTGTCCCAAGCGGGGACCAGCTGTTCAGTGCCCACGCCCCTCGCCCCGCGCTCCTTCAGCCAGCGCGCGAGCCAGTCGCGGATGGCACTGTGGCGCGCGATCGTGCCTGCGCCAGCATGGCAGTCCAGGGGGTGGGTCGGGGCCCGCGCAAGGTCCGCTCCGCAGAAGTGCCCGTCGGCGCGGCGGCGCTGGCAGGTGGCGCAGGAGTCGGCGGGCCGCTGGAGGCGGAGGCGCAGCCCCAGCACTGCCAGGAAGTGCTCGTCCGCCAGGCGGTGCTCGTCCAGCGTCGGCGGGAGCAGCCAGCTGCCTGCGCCTCTCCCGCTCGCCGAGCGCAGCAAGGCAGCCTGCTCCGGGGGCAGCGCTGCCAGGAGCTGCTTGCGGCTTTCGTCCAGCTCGCGGTGCGCAAGGGCCTTCTGCGCCTTCCGTCTCGGCTCCGCTGCAGCCTGGTGCCACTCGCCAGCCCCGAAGCGGAGCTCGTTGCCGACCCGTTCCGCCGCGCCCCACAGCATGGGGCAGCTCGAGGCGAAAGCCCCCAAGCTGGCCTCGCCCAGTTCCCGCCGAACGTCGGCCAGGCAAGCAAGCCACGATCCGGCGAAGGCGGCGCGCCTGCGCTGGGCCATGCTGTGCAAGCCCATCCCTCCCTCTGCCCTCCTCCTCCTCCTCTTCCTCCTCCTCCTGCTCCTTCTGCTCCTCCTCCTTCTCCTCACACCCTTCATTCATCAAATAACGTCCTCACTCATCCCTCCCAGAAGGGGGCGGCCTTGATGAAGGCCGGCAGGTGGTGGCCTGGCGGCGTGCGACGGCATCCAGCGCGGAAGGAATCTCCTGCTCCTGCTCATTTTTTTCGCGGCCTCCTCCTCCTCCTCCTCCTTCTCCTCCCCCCTCCACCGCCGCCGCCTCCGCCGCCGCCGCCACCTCCGCCTCCGCCTCGGCCTCGGCCTCCTCCTCCTCCTCCTCCTCCTCCTCCTCCTCTCCTCCTCCTCCTCCTCCTCCTCCTCCTCCGCCTCCTCTTCCTCCTCCTCCTCCACCGCCGCCACCTCCGCCGCCGCCGCCGCCTCCGCCCCCGCCGCCACCTCCGCCTCCGCCTCGGCCTCGGCCTCCTCTCCTCCTCGCCTCCTCTTCCTCCTCCTCCTCCTCCTCCTCCTCCTCCTCCTCCTCCTCCTCCTCCTCCTCCTCCTCCCTCCTCCTCCTCCTCCTCCCCCCCCTCCTCCTCCCCCTCCTCCTTCTCCTCCTCCTCCTCTTCATCCTCCATTCCTTTTCTGAATAAAGAACTTCTCCCTGTCGCACCCCGACGCCGGTCGAAAGGGCGGGTCGGGCGTGTTTCGCCTGAGACTTCCTCACCATTTATGACCCTGAAGCTCAAAACTTGGCAACAGTTTCACGGATTGAGGGCGGATGGTTTTGAAAATGTTGCTCTCGCCTTAGCGCCGCGCACGTTCGTTTTTTAGTTATAAGAGCTTCACGGATTGAGGGCGGATGGTTTTCAAAATGTGGTTCTCGACTTAGCGCCGCGCACATTCGCTTTAAAAATTTGTGGGAGTTTCGCGGATT